TTTGAAACTTGCTATGCTAAATGTCAGATCTCTTTGTAACAAGTCTTTTTTAATCAATAACTTTATTTGTTCTCATAATCTTGATCTTATGTTCATGGCTGAAACTTGGCTTGACCAAAATACAGAAAATGCAGTTTTAATAGAAGCATCACCACCAAATTTCAAGTTTGAATCTGAAATACGGGAAAACAAAAAAGGAGGAGGCTTAGCTGCCATTTTTAGAGACCACTTTGTCTCCCATAGAATGTCTCTTGGGAAGTTTTCGTCATTTGAATATGTGTCTTTTAAAATACAACAAAAACAATCTCCTCCAATACTCTTCATAGTCCTATACAAGCCACCGCAGTCATGTCACAGTTTTATTGATAATTTTACTGAGTTGCTTTCAGTTGTATGCACAGATTTTGATAGTTTGGTTATTACAGGTGATTTTAATATTCATGTGGATAATGTTGATGACAGAAATGCAAATGAGCTGAGTTCTGTACTTGAATCCTTTGATCTCACTCAGCACGTGAGTGGCCCCACCCACAGCAAAGGGCACACTCTAGATCTGTTAGTTACAAAGGGGGTGAATATTTCAAATGTAAACGTGGTCGATGTTGCTCTTTCGGATCATTTCTGTGTATTTTTTGACATGTGTTTCACTAACAAACCACCAGTGGACTCTGCAACTGTTCGAAGAAGGCGCATAAATGAAAATACGAGTGAACTATTTATGGGAATGATAAACTTTGAGAATGCATCGTATTCTACTGTAGATTAACTGTTTAACTCTGTCACCTCTAGTGTTTTGAATGTTCTGGATACCGTTGCCCCTGTGAAGGTTAAAATAGTGAAAAATAAGCAGAAGGCGCCGTGGGCTAAAGCAGACTCGGTCAGGGCACAAAAGAGAAAGTACCGGAGGGCCGAGCGGAAGTGGCGCAAGTCCAACCTCCAGGTTGATTACGAGATCTTCAAAGATAAGTTGTGCGAGTTTAACCGGGTGCTACGTAGTACGAGAGAAAGGTATTTTTCTGAAATGATTGAAGGCTGCAGCAACAATCTGCGTGTTCTGTTCTCAACAGTTAATAGATTAACAAACCCCCCTGTTCAAATGCCATTAGAGCTTACTTCCAAACGTAAATGCAATGAGTTTGCTCATTTTTTCAATGACAAGGTTCAAGGCATCAAAAACGCCATTGTCTCCAATCCACAGATAACCATTCAACAGCCAGAAAGGCTCTCTGAGCTAACTTACTTTGCACCTGTAAATGATAAAACTGTCCAAGAGATAATCTCCAGTTTGAGCTCCTCCACATGCAGTTTGGATGTACTACCCACTAGATTTCTAAAGTCTGTTCTGAGCAGTCTGTTACATTCACTCACACAGATAGTAAACATGTCCCTTCATTCTGGAATATTCCCAAAGGCCCTGAAAACTGCAGTCATCAGGCCCCTGCTAAAAAAAGAGCAGTCTGGATGCTACGGTACTTAACAACTATCGTCCCATCTCAAATCTGCCATTTATGGGGAAAGTCCTTGAGAAAGTTGTCTACCTACAGCTTACTAGATTTCTTATAATCAACAACTCATTTGATATGTTTCAGTCCGGCTTTAGACCCCACCACAGCACTGAGACTGCTCTCGTTAAGGTTACAAATGATATCCGGCTGAACACTGACGCAGGCAAAGTCTCAATCTTAATCTTGTTAGATCTAAGTGCTGCCTTTGACACCGTCGACCATGAGATCCTCTTACAGAGACTAGAGGACTGGGTTGGCGTCGCTGGCACTGCCCTAAGTTGGTTTAGGTCTTACCTTGAAGACAGGAAGTACTTTGTGGAGATTGGAAACTGTGTCTCAGATCATATGGCCCTGACCTGTGGAGTACCACAGGGGTCGATCCTGGGACCTCTTCTGTTCAATCTCTACATGCTGCCGTTAGGTCAGTTAATACGCAGAAACGAAGTTTCCTATCATAACTATGCAGACGACACTCAGATCTATGTCTCACTGACTGCAGGAGAACATGGACCAGTGGACTCACTCCTTCACTGTATCCAACAGATCAGTGAGTGGATGCAAAACAACTTCCTTCAGCTAAACGCAGACAAAACTGAAATGATTGTCTTTGGTCCCCAGAAACAAAGAGAGAGCGTCATCTGTCACCTACAGTCTCTCTCCCTAAAACCTTCAAACAAGGTCAGAAATCTAGGGGTAATACTGGACTCAGACTTAAATTTTAATAGCCACATCAAATCAGTAACATCAGCAGCTTTTTACCATCTAAAAAACATTGCCAGGATCAAAAACATAGTGTCTAAAGCAGACTTGGAGATTCTTATCCATGCATTTGTCTCCAGTAGGTTAGACTACTGCAATGGCCTGCTCACAGGTCTGTCCAAACAGGCTGTAAAACAGCTGCAGTACATTCAAAATGCAGCAGCTCGAGTCCTGACTAGAACCAGGAAGTACGACCACATTAGTCCAGTTCTCAGGTCTCTGCACTGGCTTCCTGTGGCTCAGAGAATAGACTTTAAAACAGCTCTGCTTGTGTACAAGTCTCTCCATAGCCTCGCACCAAAATATATTAGTGACATGTTAGTCCCATATGAACCAGCCCGGACTCTGAGGAGCACAGGGACTGGACTCCTGTTAATGCCCAGAGTCAGAACTAAACATGGGGAGGCTGCTTTTCAGATTCATGCTGCTAAAATCTGGAACAGTCTTCCTGAAGATGTGAGACAGGCCTCCTCTCTGACAATGTTTAAAACCAGGTTAAAGACAGTTCTGTTTAACTGTGCATACAACTGAGGGATTTTATATTTCTATCTTTCTTTTTAATGTTCTGTGATAATTTATGATTTTAATGCTTTCTTGTTTTGTTCAGCACTTTGAATTGCCTTGTGTATGAATTGTGCTATATAAATAAACTTGCCTTGCCTTGTAGACCCAGGACTGAGGCTGTAGACCCAGGACTGAGGCTGTAGACCCAGGACTGAGGCTGTAGACCAAGGACTGAGAATGTAGACCCAAGACTGTGTCTCAGACTCCTGTCAGATGAGCCTAATTTTAGAGACAAAGCTGTTGTTGTTTCAGAGCATCTGAGTAACAGGATGTGTCAGCACCAGGACACACACACTCACACACACACACTAACTAACACACACACACACACACACACACTAACACACACACGCACACAAAAGCTAACATTAGAACAGAGCAGTCAATTTGACGGGTTTTAGTTTTGTGTAGTGTGTAAAGTTGTGTTCCTGTTGTGTCCTAATTGTGACTTTTTCTGGATCATTCTATTGTTTATTTCTCAGTGTTTTTATAGAATCATCTTTTTATCTTTATTTTTGAAATGTGAGGAATTATAACTTTAACTCCCAGCGCAGTCACCATGGCAACACACCGTATACATCGGCAGTTACCATGGCAACACACAGTTTACATCAGCAGTTAGCGTCAGCCTTTCAACAAACTATTTTTTTTCTCTATTTCAAGTTATATTCACCTTACTCCTCTTAGCACTTATTCCAAGTGAGTAACGATTAAAAATAACTAATAAGATAAGATAAGATATTCTTTATTTATCTCACAAGGAGGAGAAATGTACATGTCACATTTGGCATGGATAGAAACATGTGCAAACATGTTAAATGCAGGATATATATGTACAATAAAAAAGTGGCAATCCGAAATAGTGTCAATATTAGTGCAGGTTTTTCAGTCTTATACAGTGACTTAAAGTGACTTGTTGTACAGTCTGACAGCGGTGGGGATAAAGGCCCTGCCCATAGACTACTTTCAAGGGTTTGAATGGGAGCAGTCAAAATGACGGTATTAGTATTAGATAGCAATATGGCCTACGTGCAGGACTCTACAAGGACTCCATGTTATGACTATGATGTGACTGTCTCTTTGTGACACGTATGTCTTTCCATGTGTGACGTGACAATGACTATATAAACTGTGTACTGCCTTTATTCTGTCTGAGAGAAAGAAACAGAGTAAACCAGTGGAACTTGAGAGAAACTTAAATAAACTTCCAGAGTTTGGCACACCACGATCCGTCTCTGTCTGCTAAATCCTAACAACGGCTCTAGGAGTCCTAGTGTTAATAAAGCCCTGCCTTATTCTTTACGGTGTTGCCATAGCAATGAGAAATATAATAATCTGTCAGATTTACAGCTCACTCTTTAATCGACTCCTGAAGCTTTTCTTCCGCAGGGCTCGGACTTGCTGCTCTCCATCAACAGCAGTCGGACGTTATAATGTTTTATGAATAAAGTTTTCTAAAGGTCGTGGATCACTCTGACCTCGTGAGCTCCACAGACACAGTTATTCTGCTGCATTAGCTTCATGCGGTGATAGGGGCAGGCATTTTGCTAGGAGGTTGCTAAGACGGTTGCTAAGACGGTTGCTAGGCGGTTGCTAAGGCGGTAGCTTGTCACACCCGGGCCACACAGAAGACATGTTTTATTGTTGGTAAACAACATGATCAGAAGACACAGGAACACGTACAGCCTTCAGACCAAAACATCAAGAGTAAAATCTGACTTGTGCAGACTGTGACAGTGTCCTCGCTCTGAAGGAGAGGCTCTGCAGGTCTTTCCTTCCTGCTGCTGTCAGACTGTACAATGAGAACCGCTGAGTCATGTACATGGCATCTGTCAATGTAAGTAATTACTGTAATCATGCCATGGGCAAAACTGCAACTTCACAGTGTCACATTATCTTCTTACCCTGCTCTACGTGTAACTTTGCACTGTGTGTTCGAAAGACTGAAGCATTTACAGCTAAGAAACAAAAACGTATTCAGTATATTGTGCGTGCTCCGTGTCTCTCACTACTGTCCTTTCTGCGCGCTGCAACACTGAAATGTCTCAATAAAGGATCTCTTCTTATCTAATCAAATTCAGTTGAGCATAATTACATCTGACGTGTCATAAAAAGATCAATCAGTGCCGTCTCCGTAATGACAGCGAATTGTCTTATTTCTTTGGCACATTCTCAGTCAGTACAGTTGCCCGTGCTTGCGTCAGTCCACGAGCCAACGTCAGTCCGCGTGCTTCCCGTCACCAACGTCACGTACAGCCAGGCACTAGGACCGCGCGGCTCCAGCCTCTCACTGAGTCCGGTGCTTGTACGTGCAGAGCCGGTGTACGTGAGCCCCGGAACGCGCCTATGCTGCTGAGGCTGAAGCTGAAGAGGAGGAGTCCATCCACATCCACTCATCACCATCCCACAGCAACAGTTAGACCCCGCTCTGCCTCTGCCTCCAGCGGCTCCGGACCCTCCGTGAGTAGCCTCCACTCCATCACCTCCATAACCACAGCCCCACATCCTTCCTCTGTAGCTGCACATTTGGTCTTTTCTTCCCGTGATATTTCTGACATTTGCAGTCTGTGCTTTTGTCGCAGCTCAGTCGTGACTGTACTTTTGTCTGTAGTTTAGTCTGGATGAAGATCAGTAACAGTTGTCTCGGGCAGGTTGACAGGTTGTGGGTTAGAATTCCCAATACATGACTGGCTTTTATTTGTTTAATGCCCAGACAACAGATCAATACACTCTCGTGACTCGATAACACCCCATTTTACAGCTATAATTAGACTATGGAGCTCTTAATGTTTAAATACAGCACGATGCTACTATAAACAATGTCACTAACACACGCAGTATCATCAAATATTCATACACAGGCTTTGTATTTTCTCTTTCCATTCATTCCTTCTGTCAGTTCAATCTGTTTGCTTTAGGCCTGGCTGCATCATTGTGACATTTTATTCTGACAATAACATTTATCACATATGTGTTTTTTTATATGTATGTCTAAAACACGCTATGAAGTTTTATTTTTTCTCTTTTTAAAATTATACTATTTTTAGCATTTTTGTCTGTTCACTGATACAATCACTATCACTGCTAGAATTCCCAGTGCCTTTTTTGTTCAAGTTAAAGTAAATATTCCTGCTTTTCTCCATCTATTTAGACGTGTTTAAGCAGATTACCGGGGTCAGAGTGAGCCGTGCCTGCTGTGGCCGCTGGAGGGCGCTGGGCAGCAAAGACCTTGACATGGGATTCAATAGCAGTTTCATAATAGCCATAGCATAGCGCTCAGAGTGACATAGTGATTATTATAGATCCATGGGCACAAACAGAGAAGCAACATACTTAATGTACGTGAACAAGTCTGTTTAGTGGCGTGGAAACGTATAAACGCATAGTTATGACGCCCATCTCAGCTGTTATAATCAGCATTTACATATCAATCCAATTAAACTGTTCTTGTTTCAAACGTGCAAGCTTTAATTTTAATTTTTAACTATCTGATTCTATATGAGTTATGAGAGTATGTCTATAACCACATGTATGAAGATATGATTCTGTGGTATGACACCTATGGCCACCGACCTCCCACAGCAGTTTTTAGTTTTTAGTTTTGTAGTGTAATTACTCAGCTCATGTGTTTTCCCAACTTTGTGACTTTTTCTGTTTATTTGTGTAATTTATTCATTTTAATTTTGAAATGAAGTCGAGAACAGCGAGCGCTAGTAACCATAGCAACGTACTGTTGACTTGCTAGCTAGTTAGCATTAGCCTTTCAAAAAAACAGTTTTTTCTGTATTTCAAGTCATTTTCACCCGTTTTAGCACTTATTTAAAGTGAGTAAAGGTACATTTGATTAAAACTGATGCTAAACTTACAAACCTTTCTGAATTCCATTGACATGAATGGGAGTGGTCCAAATGTTTCCTACTTCTGGGATTCCAAGAATAAAAAAACTCGTACTTCCTTTTACTTCCTTCATTCGTTTCATTGACCTCAAAGACACAGAATCATCTTTAAAAAGGTCTTAGATTTAACTGAAACAAAGAAATCTAAAAGAAGGATAAGTTGGAGGTATTCTTAATTTGGATGCAGCCATTTTCTCTTCATGTTTGTGATGTTCCAAAACCACGTTTGGACCGGAGTTATTCACATACATTCATTTCAATTTATTCTTAGGCCTAAAACACAACAGTAATTATCTCGGCGGAGAAAAGTGAGAAACCTTGGGGAGGGTATAGGTCCAGGACTCAGAATGTTATTGACAGTAGATTTGAATAAAAATGAGCTCAAGAAGGGATGGAACTTTATTCTCAAAAATGTTTTTAGTTAGCCTGGTTGTACCACATCATAGTACAAATTATACTGCAGGGAACAGTTTACTTTTAGTTTTTTGCTCAAGCAATTTATAGAATAGTAATGATTTATTTCACACAGACTATTACCAAAAACCAGGATACAGTAAAAGACAGAAACACAGTTTGAAAAGGGTCATATCAGCAAGTGGTCCCAGCTTTAAGGTGAAGTAGTTGTTCTAGTTTTAGCTCTGGGAGTTGCTTGTTGACTGAAGGAGATAAGGGCACCTCTCTCAGATGACAACAGTATTTTAATGCTGTGGACATAACCTGGCACCGGCTTCAAATACATTAAAAGGATTCTTCTTCTGCTGTTTTATTATGTGGCGTTGGCAAGATTACAAAAATGCCTTCAAGCCGATTGGGATTTGACGCAGGAATGAGAAATAGTACTTCAAGGTTAGCGTTGGAGTGGACTTAGAGATGGATGGATACATTTATCTAAGTAGAAGAAGAAATGCAGGAGTCCAGCAGCAGAAACACATCCAAACAATAAATACATCATTCTAAAAGTTACTAACGGTAATAAAGTGCAGCAGGTGCTTCCTCTGGTCGCACCAGTTTCTCTGCTCTGGTTCAGAGTGAAATTCTGAATGCTTTACTATAAAACGTTAACATTCCACCAGTGGATTCCTCTTGAGCTGGGACCATCGTCTCTGCTCTGGTCTGGATCAGTGAACACCATGAACACTAAACTGCAGGAACATTTACAAAAGAAAGAAACACAACCATTGTAAAACACAAAACAACTGTTCCAGAGATACTCAGGACTCGCTACTGTTTCCAGAACATTCTAGTAATGTAATGCTCAGTGGTTCACGATGAAGGAGCAGAGACAGACTGTAATTAATGTGGTGTGGTCCGAGGTCTGGTCTGGATCTGATTTATGTCCAGTCGATAGAACCAGACTGGACCGGTCAGACCCCTCTCCATCATGTCAAAGGCCAAGGAGCCAAATCCATGTGAACGACATGTTAGCCCTGAATACAGCTCTGCACATGCTATTAGTGTCCACAAGTGGGAGAGTGGTTAGCACCTCAGTCTGTGTGGTCGCCCACGGCCTGGACTGACGGGCTGCACCAGAGAATATTGCATTTGTCTCCAAAGAATATTGGCAATAATGTTGTGTGGCCTGGAGCTCTGACGGCCGCCGCCATGACCACAAACAGACTCAGAGTTAGATCAATGAAAGATGAATGAATCGAAATGTTTTATAGAGAAGAGTTTCCCATTTGGGGGCGGCAGTAGCTCAGTTGGTAGAGCATTGGCCTTTGGGCCTGAAGGTTGTGGGTTCGAGCCCACCATAAGACCTACTTCACGACTCCCTCTGATGACAGCTGTCGTTGTGTCCTTGAGCAAGACACTTAACCCCACTTTGCCTGAAGCTCCCGCTGAAAGATCTCAGCTCCTGTGGACTCACCACCTGCAGGAGAATCAGTGAGGGGCTGGTGCAAAGTGTACTGTGTACAATTCAGCATTTTAAGTAGATCTGAAGGATGAGGACAGAATCGCTTTCATGTATTAATACTGATATCATCTGTAAACTGTGGGTTCAAAGCCCATATGTTCTCAGAATAGAAGCAGAAAATCCCACATGGTGTTGCCAGCGGGGGTCCATGTCTCTGTGTTTGTGCTGGTGTCACATTCCTGGTGTTGCTTTGCAGATGTCTGTGTCCTGGAGACAGAGGACTGCACTCTGGGCCCCACACAGGTCCTCAGACAACACCCCCCACCCCACCCCCCGAGGAGCAGGTTCATCGGGTGAAGGTGTCGTAGTCGACCAAAACATGTTTGTTTATTTTGACCTAATTTAGAAGGACTAAAGAAAACCTGCTGCTGAAGCTGTTGGTATTTACTTTGATCCAGTTCCAGGTGAAATCATTCAAAGGTTTGGAGAGAAAGAATCTTTATGACCAAGATCTTTGTACAATATGGTCACAGTGGGCTTCGACCTAATGAGCTTCAGCCTAATCCTGTTTAGGTTTAAAGCCAATTCAATGTATTCTTGTATCGCTGAGTAGTTTCTCAGAGACTTTACAAAATCCAGATCAGAGAATACAACAGTTCCAGGTGAATGTGATGTTTGTTATGACACTGAACACTCAATGAACCGAGAACCCGAACTCTGACCAAAATAATAAATGTAGAATAATAAATGCAGTGTACGTGAGAAACCTCAGACTGTGTTGGTGATTAACGAGTTTACGGTCACAGATAATCTTCTTCTACGACTGATTTCTCTGAATCAGCAGATTTATCCAGATTTCCTGATTGGGCTCAGATCTGGCTCTCACTGTTGTTTTGTTCTTTATGTTTTGTTCTGCTGTTTGAGGCTGGATCTACTTCTGGATCTACTTCTGGATCTTTTAGAGCAGTGTGTTGTGGCTCTGTCCTCTGAGGTTCTTTATGCTCCACACAGAGAGTCAGCCTGTGGCCTCTGCTTTTGTCTTTTCTATGTATCATGGACATGGGCGCCCCCTATAGGTCGGGGTCATAGGCAGTCGGTTTGGAGGACTTCACAAAATTGTCGATTTCCCAACAACAGATCAGAGAAGTTCAAACATAAGAAATACAATAATAACAAACACAAAGAGCCATTGGTCCATAGTGAGCAGGATGGCTACTGTTGATAAATGTTAATTAATGTCTATAAATGTCCTTAAAGATCACAGTCCGTAGACCCTGCAGCATCAGAAGTGAGAAACCTTGGGGCGGTCCAATCCCATGGACAGGCTGCAGATTCAGGACCTAAATAAAAACATAATATAACAGAAAAAACAGCATAAAAAGACAAAACAGACAGGATAAAGCTCAGTACTTTCATCCATAGTTCTCTCTCTGTCCCAGGAACAGGCTGCGACACATTCTTACATCTACAAACATAAACATCAGCTTTAGAGTTTAGGGTTCTGTGAGCTCCGAGTTCATCATGAGCCACAGTCACTATGACTCAGCTCCAGTCTAAGTCTGAGTCCTCACATCCTGGACCCGTCATCGCACCAGAGACTTCAGTAACAGCCATGAACCCGTCCTGACTGCACTGAGTCGTTTCCTGTGGGGGATGAAGGTTCAACTCAATCTGTTCTTGTATCGTCCTGAATCACAACAGTTTTATCTCAGAGACTTTACAAAACTGCTGAATTCTCCAACACAGATCAGAGAATCAACAGTTAACCACATTCATAACGTGTTGGTACATGTCCAGATCTGAGTGGAACATGTCAGGCGGTATATACTGTAATTACAGATTACTCACTTACCAGTGTTGTGCGTGAACGAGTTCAAAATAACGCGTTCATTGAACACGCTCATTTTTTCGTGAACGTTGAACTGAACGCAACACATTTTTTTTAAAAGAACTTGAACGTGAATTAGTTCATTTTATGTGTCATGAACGGCAGACATCACTATGAACGTTGGAATCTGTTTTCTCTTTTGAAACGCAACGAGAGAAAGTTCCTCCCTCCTGTATTACCGCACTTTTTCCGCCGAAATCTAAAAATTCCTACGGTTTCCACCGTCTGTGAACGCACCCCGACTCCGTGTTGCGGTGCGGCGCTGTGAGCTGGTGCTTTTCACATGTGCCCGAGTCGTGATGAAAACACAGGGTGAGTTAGCGACAAAGTTTACACCGTTTACATTTGACATAAAGTATAGACACACGCACTGCAGCGCATTACTGTCTGTAGTTTATGAGCAGAGATGGAACAACTCCGTTTGGCTCCCATTGAAAACCATGTAAATCTTGTCTGTTTTGTGGTCATAAGGCTCTCCTCCTGTGGGTGTACAGGACATATATAGCTCGTAGTGTGAAAAAAAAGTATTTATTTGACTTTCACAAAAAATAGTAAAATGAACTGAACTTTGAACTAGTTCAGAATTAAAATTGTGAACTTTGAACGTGAACTGTTCACTTTGAGCATGTATGAACTGAACTTGAACTAGTTCAGAAAAGCTGTGAACTGGCACAACACTGTCACTTACTTAGTGTGAAACCGGACTTGAAACTTGCCTCAGACCTGGAACTAACAAATAAGGACTTACTGCTTCCGCTGGGTCTCCATCATTGTGGAACTTTGTTCAGTTCAGTTTAATAACATTTATTTGTATATCGCCCTAAATCCCAACAGCAGTCGTTTCTGAGGTCTTTACAAAGCTGTAGACTTCTTAACAACAGTTTGAACGCAGCAAATGCAAGAAAAACAAACCCATAGAAGCCATAGGAGCAGGGCGATGTATGTTCTTCGATGTCCTAAACCCTCTTGCTTTGGCAAGGAGTGACTCAGTGGGAAAAAAGTGAGAAACCTTGGGCCGGCCCATATTTTTCATTTGGAGTGTATATTTTATTTAGGATATGGGAGGTTTAGATATGTTTTCTTCTTCCCACTGAACTTAGCCCTGGAGTAAAGAACAATGCTCAAATTATGGTCCATCAAAGGGAGTTCTTTCCTGACCCAGCCGCACGCTAATCCAAAAGGAACGCTCTAAGCCTTAAATATAGGGACTGTGTCTGTCCCTTTGACGTGGATGAGGAGCTGATGCTACAGTGCAGGACATTGGTTGCTTTTGGACACTCAAAGACCAGTCTGACTTCCTGAGATCCAAGTGCCCAGTTTGGTAAACACAGTGCATCCTGGAAGTAGGACAGGGCCGTAGCATGTGTGGCCTTTTACGTCAGGAGCAAGACTTTTTACTAAATTCCAGGGATTTCAACACTGGGGTTATGTGGTTCCTCTTTTCAGCTCCTCTTTAGACCCTTGCTACATTTGGAAGTCGCTTGAAACACCTTTTCAGTGACACGCAGAGGCATTACAGAAGCCAACTCTTGAACATCAAGCCTCAACATCTGGAGAGAGGTCCCTGGACGCTGTATTTTAGCGACCGCTGCTTATGAGCAGAGGCCCCAGAGACATCGGAGAAAGCAGAGGGCGTGTAGTTTATCTAAACGAGGAATAATATCTGTTCTAGTCCAGTGTTGTTAATCTGAGGGTCTCATGTAGTAAACCATGTGTGTCTCCACAGACTGTCTCTGGTCTCTGCTGGACTCTGGTCTCTGCTGGACTCTGGTCTCTGCTGGTCTCTGGTCTCTGCTGGACTCATGGGCATGCTGGTCCCACACTGACCTCCTCCATCAGAGTAAGTCCTGTCCATCCTCATCCATGTGTTGCTCTTTATCCTTTCTCTAATGTCTCTGAGAGGAAGCAGACGGCCGCAGTTAATGATCACAAACATTATCTCAATCAGTTTAAATCAGCTCTGACTGTCTCTCAAAGAACATCCATGATACTGCCATAAGAACCAACTCTGATGAGCACAGGGACGGGCCTCCTGCTGGGACTCTGAGGAGCACAGGGACTGGCCTCCTGCTGGGACTCTGAGAAGCACAGGGACTGGCCTCCTGCTGGGACTTTGAGGAGCACAGGGACTGGCCTCCTGCTGGGACTCTGAGGAGCACAGGGATTGGCCTCCTGCTGGGACTTTGAGGAGCACAGGGACTGGTCTAATGCTGGTCCCAGAGTCCGGATTAAACATGAGGAGGCAGTGTTTCAGATTCATACTAAAATCTGGAACAGTCTTCCTGAAAATGTGAGACAGGCTTCTATTCTGACACTGTTTAAATCCAGGTTAAAACAACTGGAGAATTTTGTCTTTGATCTTTAATGAACTGTGAATATTTATCTTTTTTTTACACTTTTTTTCTACACTTTAAGTTTCCTTGTGTCTGAACTGTGCTAACCTTGTCTGTGTGCAGCTTGTGCGTGGCCGTAGAGGATCATGGGAGGCGTGGCCCTGGACGTGGGGGGCCCGGCGGTGAAGGCCCCTGACGGAGGCTGGGGCTGGGCTGTGCTCCTGGGCTGCTTCGTCATCACAGGCTTCTCCTACGCTTTCCCCAAAGCCGTCAGCGTCTTCTTCAAAGAACTCATCCGAGAGTTTGGCGTCGGCTACAGCGACACGGCCTGGATCTCCTCCATCCTGCTCGCCATGCTCTACGGGACAGGTACACAACCAACACAACACACACACACACAGACACACAACACAACACACACACACACACACACAACACAGCCTGGATCTCCTCCATCCTGCTCGCCATGCTCTACGGGACAGGTACACAACCAACACAACACACACAACACACACACACACACAACACGGCCTGGATCTCCTCCATCAGGCTCGCCATGCTCTATGGGACAGGTACACAACCAACACAACACACACAGACACACAACACACACACAGACACACAACACAACACACACACACAGACACACAACACACACACACACACACACACAACACGGCCTGGATCTCCTCCATCCTGCTCGCCATGCTCTACGGGACAGGTACACAACCAACACAACACACACAACACACACACACACACACACAACACGGCCTGGATCTCCTCCATCAGGCTCGCCATGCTCTATGGGACAGGTACACAACCAACACAACACACACAGACACACAACATACACACAACACGGCCTGGATCTCCTCCATCCTGCTCGCCATGCTCTACGGGACAGGTACACAACACACACACAAACGACAATCAACCAACAGACCGACCGAGCGACCGACAGAAACACATGAGGAGGAGCTGACCCTTGACCCCACTGTTCACACAGAAACACAACAGGTGAAAGAACTGTTGTGTAAACAGTGAAGTATTTATGTGAAAAACGCTCTTTTGAAACTGGCATTATTTGTTTATGCAACATGTGACATCACTTTGAGCCTCTGCCTTCAGCGAGTGGCACTTCTTTGAAGATTGAGCAAATCTGTATACCTCTATATACAGATGTATATAGATACACTCTCTGGTCTCTCTCTGGTCTCTCTCTCTGGTCTCTCTCTGGTCTCTCTCTGGTCTCTCTCTCTGGTCTCTCTCTGGTCTCTCTCTGGTCTCTCTCTGTAAGTAAGTAAGTAATCTTTATTTATATACCGCCTTTTCACTGCAGATCTGAGTCTCAAAGCGGTTTACAATTGTTAATTTTGGGCATTTGTCTCTCACTCCACACAGAGATGGGAGCGGGGCCAGTACAGGAGGCGCATGCCAGAACTATTGGACATATTTTTAGTGGTAGGGGAAACCGGAGTACCCGGAGGAAACCTACGCAGACACGGGGAGAACATGCAAACTCCACTCAGAAAGGCCCTGGTCCGACCGGGATTCGAACCCAGGACCTTCTTGCTGAGAGGCGAGAGTGCTATCCACTCAGCCACCGTGCCGCCTCTCTGGTCTCTCTCTGGTCTCTCTCTGGTCTCTCTCCGGTCTCTCTCTGGTCTCTCTCCGGTCTCTCTCTGGTCTCTCTCTGGTCTCACTCTGGTCTCACTCTGGTCTCTCTCTGGTCTCTCTCTGGTCTCTCTCTGGTCTCTCTCTGGTCTCTCTCTGGTCTCTCTCTGGCCTCTCTCTGGTCTCTCTCTGGTCTCTCTCTCTCTGGTCTCTCTCTGGTCTCTCTCTCTCTGGTCTCTCTCTCTCTCTGGTCTCTCTCTGATCTCTCTGGTCTCTCTCTGGTCTCTCTCTGGTCTCTCTCTGGTCTCTCTCTGGTCTCTCTCTGGTCTCTCTCTGGTGTCACTCTGGTCTCTCTCTGGTCTCTCTCTGGTCTCACTCTGGTCTCTCTCTGATCTCTCTGGTCTCTCTCTGGTCTCTCTCTGGTCTCACTCTGGTCTCTCTGGTCTCTCCAGGTCCCGTGTGCAGTGTCCTGGTGAATCGTTTTGGTTGTCGTCCGGTGATGATGGTGGGAGGAGTCTTGGCGTCTCTGGGGATGATCTTGGCGTCTTTTGCCACCAGCATCATCCACATCTACTTGTGCACCGGCGTCCTCACAGGTCAGCCCCCACCCACAAGACGCACAGGGGGGGTCAGGTCACAGCCCCCACCCACACAGCAGGGGTCAGGTCACAGCCCCCACCCACAAGACGCACAGGGGGGGTCAGGTCACAGCCCCCACCCACACAGCAGGGGTCAGGTCACAGCCCCCACCCACAAGACGCACAGGGGGGGTCAGGTCACAGCCCCCACCCACACAGCAGGGGTCAGGTCACAGCCCCCACCCACAAGACGCACAGGGGGGGTCAGGTCACAGCCCCCACCCACACAGCAGGGGTCATGTCACACTTTAACGTGGGTTTGCGCTGCTTTGCCACTGCCTCAGCTGTTTCTGAGGTCAAACCTGCGTCTCACGGTCTCACGGCAGCTGAAGCAAAGCATGATGGGTCAGTGTTCGTGTGGACGCGTCTTTGGCCTACGTCAGTAAAAGGAAAATTTCAACTCCACAAGAATCAGTGACTGCTTAAACCAAACTTTACACCAAACTTTGACTCTTAAAACCCACATATAACAACATGGAACCATCAACATGGAACCATCAACATCTCGCCTCAAAGTGCATTAAAAGTGACATCTGTGTCTTCATTCGTTCGTATTTAAACTTTTAAAGCGATTCTCTGACTTTATGGCGGCCATCTTGTATTGCTGTGGCTGCCGTGAGAAGCACATGTGCAGGTTTATAGTGTATCTCCACAAGGCAGTGCAAACCCACCTTACACCGGGAACTGACCTGAAATTCACGTTCTTTGTGATGTCATGAACCTTTGAAGAAACTGTGGATAAAGTTAAACTCTAACAATGCACAGGGTTTTTGTAATCTGAAGGCCTAATCTACTGGCATCGTGGTAAATGCTGAGTCTGTTCTATAATATCACATACATTTGTGACTGATCTCTACCATCGACAGTAAAACCTGTCTCCCAGACGTTTGTCAGAACACAAAACACTGTCTACACTGTAAAAAGTGATGTCACATAATGAGAAAAACACAACATCACAGGGAAACCCACTGAAGAATGAAGAAACACAAGAAGACAATATTACACAATCCAAATACTTTCATTGGAGTAAAATATTTAGGATTTAAACTCTGTAAAAAGTGATGTATCTGAAGAGGAGGAGTCTGGATATGAAACAGTTCAAGAACATTCTACACTGATCAAAATGTCAATGTTCTGCACAAAGAAAACCAACAGACCAGAACTAAACACTGGAAAACTTTCAGCCAATTTCAGCCGATGCAAGTTCTGTGTCTAAATATCAAAAAGACTGAAATATTACACAAAAATGATGAAGATTGATGATGAAAATATAGTTTGTGTCGTCGTAGTTGTTCTGTTTCTAATTAAAGTAGAAAAAAATCAAATTAAATCAGAAATTGAGATCTTAAACAATAATAAAGCATGGGTTTTATACAGTGCTTTTCAGAACACTCTGTGCAGAATGTGGAGCGGGACATTCATCAGTGAGTCTGCGGATGTTGGCCTGAGTTTAATAAACACAGTTATGAGTTCCAGGTCTATTCTCTGCATAAACACTGCTTTAAATACAGTTCTAGAGTATTGGAATAAAGCGAGGCCTCAGCTGGAGACGAACCAAGAATGATGATCCCAGAGGAGCTCGAGGCCAACCCCTGAGGCTGGAAGGAGACCCTACATTTGGACTCATTCTGCTCCACATTATTACTCAATAAAACAAACAATTCTACAAACAGTTGATATGACAACAGCCGCATGTGTCCAGAGGAAGTGCTGCAGCAGCTTCCATCTCACAGAACAAACAAATACATTCAAATAGAGCTCAGAGACAAACAGTGCCTCATGTTCTGGTGATGTCACACAGAGACTATTATCTGCTTCATTTGACTTTACGACGAGGGCAAAGCTACAGACTCACAGACTCACATCTATGTCATTATTATACTAATATTAGTGTCTGCAGAAAGGCCCTGTGTCCCCGACCCTCAGCTGCTCACAGGGACATTACAGGAGACAGTAAACATTCTGGGTTCATATGAGCCACTGATATTAAATTATGATATAAATAATCACATTACACCATATCAAAGATGATAACATTTCTGATATTGGCACCAATGTCCAGGACTAGTATCGTATCGTTGATCATGAAAGTTTACTCCTCTGGTTATTATCTAGGTTAGTATGGAAGAAAAATGCATCTGTTGGCCCTGTCTCAGTAGTATCTGGTTTATATGGTTACAATATATACAATACAATGTGTTCTTGTATTGCCCTAAATCACAACAGAAGTCATCTCAGAGACTTAACAAAACCATTGAAATCACCAACACAGATCCGAGAATCAACAGTTAAAACAGACAGAGAAAATACACATGTGTTGGACCATAGGGAGAGACAAATTTCATGTCATACATGTTGATAAATGTCGTACATGTTGTCAACATGTACGACATTTATCAACATGTATGACATTTATCAACATGATGTTGATAAATGTCATACATGTTGATAAATGTCATACATGTTGATAAATGTCGTACATGTTGTAGAATTTTAGGGTGGCATTGCACATTCCACCGTGAAAGGTATAGAAACGTTTTGATCGGTATTATTATTATTAAATTGCTTACTTATACCCCCCTCCCCCCTCCAGGTCTGGGCCTGGCCCTGAACTTCCAGCCCTCCCTCATCATGTTGAACCGTTACTTCAGTGAGAAGCGTCCTTTGGCCAACGGTCTGTCTGCGGCGGGCAGCCCCGTGGCCCTGTGCTGCCTGTCTCCTCTGGGGCAGGTGCTGCAGTACCAGTACGGCTGGAGGGGGGGCTTCCTGATCCTGGGGGGGCTCCTGCTGAACTGCTGTGTGTGTGCGGCCGTCATGAGGCCCCTGCTGCCGCCTCGGAGCTCACAGAAGGACCAAGAGGCTGCAGCTAAGGAAGAGGACGCAGTGAAGAAGCCCAAAGCCAAACTGTTGGACTTCTCTGTGTTCAAGGACCGAGGCTTCGTCATCTACACAGTGGCCGCCTCCGTCATGGTGCTCGGTCTGTTCTACCATTTATATGCTTCTCTTTTCTATCTCAGTCTGAATTTGGGTAAAAAACTCTCATTAATAAAGATAAAAATATATATGCAGACCCAAAAAACATTCTTACTTCTATTCAAAAGTCTAAATTTGCAGACAGAAGGGAAAAAAAATAATTGTGCTTTTTTTTTCAGATTTCAATGTTAATCAATATAATTTAATCTAATTTCTACCATTTCCAAACTGAATTAATGTAGAAACATCACTCACCACTTTAACCGTTTATTTCAAACTTACAGCAGAACAAAACACAGATACAAACATGTATTCATGAACTTAACCACTTATTTTTAGCTGTGTTGTCGCTACCTAAATTCTGTTAGCATCAGAGCCCGCCGGCTACTTCCGGCACTTCCGGCGTGCGCCAGGACCTCTGGTCTGAAAACTAGAGAACGTGCGTTTCAGCGTTTCCGGTCTGAAAGAACCATTAGAGCTTTCTTTGAAGTAACTTAACTTCCACATTTCAACAGAGCAGAAAGTTCAGATATTCTTCTTTCTTTCTCCACCGGAGTCTGTAGCTTCAGCCTTCTCCCCTCAGGTCTGTAGTTTTGGCCTTCTCCCCTCAGGTCTGTAGTTTTGGCCTTGTCCCCTCAGGTCTGTAGTTTTGGGCTTGTCCCCTCAGGTCTGTAGTTTTGGCCTTGTTTTGGCCTTGTCCCCTCAGGTCTGTAGCTTTGGCCTTGTCCCCTCAGGTCTGTAGCTTTGGCCTTGTCCCCTCAGGTCTGTAGTTTTGGCCTTGTCCCCTCAGGTCTGTAGTTTTGACCTTGTCCCCTCAGGTCTGTAGCTGCATCCCTGTCTCCTCAGGTCTGTAGCTTTGGCCTTGTCCCCTCAGGTCTGTAGCTTTGGCCTTGTCCCCTCAGGTCTGTAGTTTTGGCCTTGTCCCCTCAGGTCTGTAGTTTTGGCCTTATCCCCTCAGGTCTGTAGTTTTGGCCTTGTCCCCTCAGGTCTGTAGCTTTGCCCTTCTCCCCTCAGGTCTGTAGTTTTGTCCTTGTCCCCTCAGGTCTGTAGTTTTGGCCTTGTCCCCTCAGGTCTGTAGCTGCATCCCTGTCTCCTCAGGTCTGTAGCTTTGGCCTTGTCCCCTCAGTTCTGTAGCTTTGACCTTGTCCCCTCAGGTCTGTAGCTTTGGCCTTGTCCCCTCAGGTCTGTAGTTTTGGCCTTGTCCCCTCAGGTCTGTAGTTTTGGCCTTGTCCCCTCAGGTCTGTAGCTTTGGCCTTGTCCCCTCAGGTCTGTAGCTTTGGCCTTGTCCCCTCAGGTCTGTAGTTTTGGCCTTGTCCCCTCAGGTCTGTAGCTGCATCCCTGTCTCTTCAGGTCTGTAGCTTTGGCCTTGTCCCCTCAGTTCTGTAGCTTTGACCTTGTCCCCTCAGGTCTGTAGCTTTGGCCTTGTCCCCTCAGGTCTGTAGTTTTGGCCTTGTCCCCTCAGGTCTGTAGCTTTGGCCTTGTCCCCTCAGGTCTGTAGCTTTGGCCTTGTCCCCTCAGGTCTGTAGTTTTGGCCTTGTCCCCTCAGGTCTGTAGCTTTGGCCTTCTCCCCTCAGGTCTGTAGTTTTGGCCTTGTCCCCTCAGCTCTGTAGCTTTGGCCTTGTCCCCTCAGGTCTGTAGCTTTGGCCTTGTCCCCTCAGGTCTGTAGTTTTGGCCTTGTCCCCTCAGGTCTATAGCTTTGGCCTTGTCCCCTCAGGTCTGTAGCTTTGGCCTTGTCCCCTCAGGTCTGTAGTTTTGGCCTTGTCCCCTCAGGTCTGTAGTTTTGGCCTTGTCCCCTCAGGTCTGTAGTTTTGGCCTTGTCCCCTCAGGTCTGTAGTTTTGGCCTTGTCCCCTCAGCTCTGTAGCTTTGGCCTTGTCCCCTCAGGTCTGTAGCTTTGGCCTTCTCCCCTCAGGTCTGTTCGTCCCGCCGGTCTTCGTGGTGAGTTATGCGAAGGAGCTGGGCTACGAGGACACGAAGTCGGCGCTGCTGCTGACCATCCTGGGCTTCGTCGACATGTTCGCGAGGCCGACCTGCGGCGTCATCGCGGGACTCAAGTGGGTTCGTCCTCGCTGCGTTTATCTGTTCAGCTTCGCCATGCTCTTCAACGGCGTCACGGACCTGGTGGGGTCTCAGGTGAGGGCACAGACATACAGACAGACAGGCAGACAGGCAGACAGACAGACAGACAGACAGGCAGGCAGACAGACAGGCAGACAGACAGACAGGCAGACAGGCAGACAGACAGACAGACAGACAGGCAGGCAGGCAGACAGACAGACAGACAGACAGACAGACAGACAGACAGACAGACAGACAGACAGACAGACAGGCAGGCAGACAGGCAGGCAGGCAGGCAGGCAGGCAGGCAGGCAGGCAGGCAGGCGCTGCATTGAACCTTTTGACCTTGTGTTTTTGCTGTGTTCAGTGTAAACAACAGACAAATATAGTCATTTAGACTGCAGGAAAACTGTTGTGTCAGCGCTCACTCCTGTGGGGCAGATCAGCCACATGTCCATCTATTTCTCTATCACCAAAATGAAATATAATTCTATAAGAATTATTCATAGATACTGATCCTGTTGGAGAAATGCAGGAGTCCAGCAGCAGAAACACATCCATCCAAACAAATACATCATTCTAAAAGTGACTAACAACAGTAATAAAGCAGCAGCAGCATTGTGAGGACATGGCCAATGTCCTCACAATAATAAAGAATAATTATCATTTTAAGTCAGAGCCTCAGACTTTTACCTTTTTGTTTTCTGCATCTCTGGTTAGCTGGATTAAAAAGAATCACACCATAGCCCTGTGCTTCCACCATGACTGTGTGTGTGTACGCGCACACACACACACACACACACACACACACACACATGTGTATGATCTGTGCTTTACAAATAAACTTCCTTGCAGGCCTCGGACTACCCGACCCTGGTGGTCTTCTGTATCTTCTTCGGCGTGTCCTATGGGATGGTGGGAGCGCTGCAGTTCGAGGTTCTCATGACCATCGTGGGGACAGAGAAGTTCTCGTCCGCCATCGGTCTGGTCCTGCTGATGGAGGCCTTCGCGGTCCTCATCGGGCCCCCAGGAGCAGGTCAGTGTGGCCCCCAAATGAACATGATTTAACACTGCATCATTATCTTCTCTCACTTTAGGTCATTTTATTTTTTTAAGGAGTCAGAGTCTGTCCCTCACAGAGTCCTGGGTCCTGCACTAAACACATCATGGATCTGCAGCTAAAGCACTAAAGCACTAAACACTAAACACTAAACACTGCGGTGGAAAGCCTGAGGCCCTGGTCTGTGGCTGTCACACTTTTGTTTAGGTTCACACCGCACTGTTAGAGTCTGTGCTGATGTCTCTGATGGTTTTACTCTGTGGAAACTATGAGCAGAGCCTTTAATGCACTGAATAAATAATGATAATAAAATGGTTCAGACACAGACAATGAAGGCTCGGTCTGGGACTCTCTGTACATCAGGGTTAGTTTTATTCACTCCAGCAGAGAAAGAGAGACCAGAGAAAGACCAGAGAGAGACTGAAGAGAGACTGAAGAGAGACTGAAGAGAGACTGAAGAGAGACCAAAGAGAGACCAGAGAGAGACCAGAGAGAGACCAGAGAGAGACCAGAGAGAGACCAGAGAGAGACCAGAGAGAGACCAGAGAGAGACCAGAGAGAGACCAGAGAGAGACCAGCGAGAGACCAGCGAGAGACCAGCGAGAGACCAGCGAGAGACCAGCGAGAGACCAGCGAGAGACCAGCGAGAGACCAGCGAGAGACCAGCGAGAGACCAGCGAGAGACCAGCGAGAGACCAGCGAGAGACCAGCGAGAGACCAGCGAGAGACCAGCGAGAGACCAGCGAGAGACCAGAGAGAGACCAGAGAGAGACCAGAGAGAGACCAGAGAGAGACCAGAGAGAGACCAGAGAGAGACCAGAGAGAGACCAGAGAGAGACCAGAGAGAGACCAGAGAGAGACCAGAGAGAGACCAGAGAGAGACCAGAGAGAGGCGCTCTGCTCTGACAGAGTCTGATCTGGAGGTTCTTTATGAATCCAGATCTTAGAATAATCACTGACTCTTCTGGCTCCTGGAAAAGTCATGTTCCAGCTTCTTCCCCCTGGCAAAAAATATCGTTGGCTGCAGGACATCTTGATATGCTAACATGCTAACAGCTTCTTTCGGCCTATCTCAGTCTGAACAAAGACTTGTGATAATCTAGTTTTGACGCTGTTTTTGTTGGTTTCACACTGATGCTAGTTTCTATATTTTTAATCTCATTTTATTCCTGTACTTGTCCGGTGACGCTGCGGACTCTCGCACATGTATTCCACTGTGGTTTTACTGCAAATTTACGCCTGTGTTTCCTCCGCAGGGCGCCTTCTGGACTACACAAAGAAGTACATGTTCGTGTTCCTGCTGGCGGGCTGCGAGGTCTGTGTGTCCGCCATCGTCCTCTTCACCTGCAACCTCCTCTTCATCAGAACCAAAGCATCAGCAGCACAGGAGCAGGAGGAGGTGCAGGAGGAGGCGCAGAGGAGCCCAGAGACCATGGCCATGACCGCAGACTACCAGCAGGGCGACGCTCTGGAGCTGGAGAAGCTGCGACCCGACAGTACGACCGTGGACTCACAGGAAGTGGAGAGGTTCCTCAAAGAACCAGAAAGTAAAGGGGCCTTGTCCCCGAGTCCAGAGACCTGTCTGTAGAGGTCTCTCTCTGGTCTCCCTCTCTAGTCTCCCTCTGGTCTCTCTCTGGTCTCTCTCTGGTCTTTCTCTGGTCTCTCTCTGGTCTTTCTCTGGTCTCTCTCTGGTCTCTCTCTGGTCTTTCTCTGGTCTCTCTCTGGTCTCCCTCTCTGGTCTCTCTCTGGTCTCTCTCTGGTCTCTCTCTGGTCTCTCTCTGGTCTCTCTCTGGTCTCTCTCTGGTCTCCCTCTCTGGTCTTTCTCTGGTCTCTCTCTGGTCTCTCTCTGGTTTCTCTCTGGTCTCTCTCTCTGGTCTCTCTCTGGTCTCTCTCTGGTCTTTCTCTGGTCTCTCTCTGGTCTTTCTCTGGTCTCTCTCTGGTCTCTCTGGTCTCTCTGGTCTCTCTCTGGTCTCTCTCTGGTCTCTCTCTGGTCTCTCTCTGGTCTCTCTCTGGTCTCCCTCTCTGGTCTCTCTCTGGTCTCTCTCTGGTCTCCCTCTGGTCTCCCTCTGGTCTCTCTGGTCTCTCTGGTCTCTCTGGTGTTTCTCTGGTCTCTCTCTGGTGTCTCGCTGGTCTCTCTCTGGTCTCTCTCTGGTCTCTCTGGTCTCTCTCTGGTCTCTCTCTGGTCTCTCTGGTCTCTCTCTGGTCTCTCTCTGGTCTCTCTCTG